GTAGCCATAGCGCATTAGAAGGCGCGGGACTCGAATGCATGCGGCATTTATTCTCCTCCATGCAGCGCATGGGCAAAATAGTCTAGAACTTTACTCCAGCAGCTGTCCTTGGTATCCAGGATTCCTCTTATACGCAAACAAAAGAAAAACGGAGGGAGTATTAGACAATCTGCAACCCGATCGCGTGTATGGCTAATGTAACATTTTTTTGGGACAAAAGGAGGTGCCTTTTGCTATTCATCGGCCTGCGGTGTCCATTTGCCGTGGTGCAGGCAGTGGCTGTGTTTTGATTTTCGGCCAAAAAAATCAATTTTCGGCCGAATTTCGTCCATCTCGCTTGGGCCCGGTAAATGGCTGTACCGGCCAAAATTTTCGGCCCAATTTGAACTTTTTTTGGCCCAATCCAACTTATGGAGCCTCCCCACGCTTTGCCCAACAGAAAAGGATCGAGCCGAATGCCCTAACCCTAAACAAATCATGACCCCGTGGTCGACCTATGTGTGCGGCGGCGGCGCTACGCCCAGACGCGGCTCCTCCGCTCGTCGCCGCCTGCCTGCCCGCTCGAGCCTGTCGCTCCTGCCTCGTTCGCGCCATCCCGACGGCCCAGCCCCTGCTGCCGACCTCTGCCGGATGCGGGCTGCACGCTGCTCGCTGTGCGCTGCGGCTGAATCCATCGGCAACTCCTCCTCAACTCTGAAACACCTCTCCCTGTCCACGTTTTAATCTTTTGCTTTTGGAGCTGATGATGATGTCGGACTGAAGCGCAGTTTTTAATCCCCAAAGCTTTTGGTCTGCCATACTCCTCAGTGTTGTTTGACAGCCAGACTTTTGCTCTGCTTGTTTTCAAAAATTACGGCCGAATTTCGGCCAATTTTGTCTTAAAATTCGTTTAAAATTCAAATTTTGGTTTGGTAATTTCGTCCGAGATTTTTAAAATGACCGAACTTCGGCCATTTCGTTCAGGAGCCAAAAAAATTGCAAACCGAAAGCCAAAACACAGGGCAGTTTTCGCGACTGGTCCCACCAAATATTAAAGGAGTATTCTTGCCAAGGGACTTTCCTTGCCTTGATTTGGCCAGGCCGACGACGGTGGCAGCCGTGGGCGTCGTACCCTTCTTGAAGGTATCGTCGTGGCTACTCGATCCCCTTCCTCCGGATAGCTCTTCTTGGTATCGTCGTCTTTCAAGCGATGGAGGACCTCGACGTCTTTCAAGCGCAACTTTGTCCGTTGCTTGGAGTGATTTGGGGTGGTGTGTTGTTCTTCTACATCGTTATATCTTGCCCTGGGTGTGTTTGTTCTGGCATCGAGTTATATGAGATGTGTTGTATGGCTGTTATTTTATATATAAATTCGGGTGCGAGGCTCTGTTAGAATAAATCTGAGGCATACCGTTGATCATCCGAGGACCAAGCAATCATCACACGAGCACGACACCGAGATTTGTTAACGAGGTTCACCGATATGGCTACATCCCCGGGGCCTGACTACGGGCGCTCCTCCCCGTGACACCGTCACAATACCGCACACTGGCCACCCGGGCGCCGGCACAAGCCGCCGGCTCCCCCTTGCGCGCATGTGCTATTATGCTGGCATAGGTTACATCGTGTGTCTATCCTCGCTATATATGAGAGGCCTAGGATACAAGTGTCCTACTAGGACACGACTCCACATCCTATGTAAACACGATACAACTACAAGTCCAACTGTAACTTACCTTGTACACTATATTCGACACAACTCCAACGAACTCCACCTTGGCGAATATACTCCACCACCCTGGATTTGTCCATGCGTCAAACCTCCATGTACATTGGACTTGAGCTTATTCCATGAGTGCCGCTGCTACTCCAAAGACTCCATGCGACTCCACCTGCAACTTGTAGTCCCTTCTTTTCTTGACCACAGTCAACATTCGAGCAAAATTAAGTCCCTTGTTACTCAATTTGTGCTCCCAACTTTCAGAGTATCCATCCAATGCCATCACACACTGATCACTGACCTGCGTGAAAGTGAACAACTCACATATTGGGTGTCACACATAAGAGTTACCTGAACTCAATATCACCGCTCCTTTCTTGACCGCCTGTCTGAAACTTGAAAGAATTTCACCATTGCTTGTAGTCATCCCGAGTCAAATTCGCAATTGTCTCACCATATGTATGACCACTAGAGCCCTGGTCCGTCTCCATGTCCCGTGCATACCGCACGCCTCGCTGCTATTACTGCGTCGAGCCTCCGCTGTCCTGGTCGAGTCTCAAGGGTCGCGAAACCACACCACTCAACCCCCACCGCAGAGTACCACCGATCATCACCGACCAATGACGAGTTTCACGCTTTCATCAGACCACTGGGCTCCAGTCCAAACTACGTGTCCCTCGCTTTTTTTCCCGCTGAATAGGCTTCGACTCCGTCGACTTACGCCGTAGCCCCTCAATCAGCACCAAGTGAAGTCCTCCAGACTTCACCTCCACCTTCAACATGACTCCATGGTGGTTGTACGTGCCACCCCGCGCCCCGTCGACTCCAAGCTCTCATGTGCACCGTCTTGAATAAACCACGTGCCATAGTCTTGTCGAAGTCACACAAGCCCTCGGCCTGCACCACGTGTTTCCACGCCCAGAAGTCGGTCACTATCAGCACCACGCTCCTATGTCGTCGTCGCCGATCCCGCACCGTCTTCTGTACCAACCGACTTGTGTCGATCCTGTCAGACCATCTAGTCCAACCCAGCCGAACTTGTCCGACTGCAATGACACGCTCAAGGCTCCCAATTCATCTTTCACAAATTTCCATCCATCACATAATATTTCCATCTTAACAGGCTTGGCTTCTTGCAACGCCTTCAAGCATCTCTGTTGTGCCAACAAATCTTTCATCCA